CCACAATGTAGGAAATGTAGGCCAATATACACAACACAATAAACTCTATGTAGAATATAATAAACAACTGTTCCCTCTGGTCGTAGATCACCGACGATAGCACTTTCCACGGCTGTAGCTGTTTATTAAGTGTCAAAATCTGTATGACTTGAAAAAACCTATGAAAGCCCCGGAAGGCTGAGGCGGCGAACACCTCGTGCCCTGAGCTCGGGTTGATTGTCAACACTACTATAGATAGGGTGATCACCAGGCAGTCCATGAGTCGCGAGGGCACTGATAGGTACTTGAATTTGCCGGACCAACCCTGGTACTGGTTTTTACAGCTCGATGACCACCACCGTATGATAAACTCCGAGCTGAACCACACGATTATTACCTTCTCCAACAGGTATAGATAGCGTAGGGCGCCTGTAGAGTGACCAACAAAAATATGTGGTTAATTCAGTTTACATTATTATCAATTTTCTTGTTGGTTTCCCTACTTTTATCTATACAAAGAAAGTTGTTATATAATTTTAATTGTTATGGTGATTTAAAACAATTAAAATAGCACTTATGTACAGTTTTACCCGTATTTATTGTTTACTAACCGGCTTGAAACTCGTCGATTGTGGAGAACACGGTCACTATGAGACAGGCGAACACCATCATGAACACAAGTATGTGGTAACTTATGGCCCAAAACCCTGTATTAAATAAAAACATAATTCTATAACTCAATTGCAACTATCTAAATACAACAAACAATAAACTATGGTAACTTACCTTTCGGATAATTAAGAAAATTATACACTTTGTACTTTTGCTTATAATGTGTAGTCTTTTGATTGAAGTAGGTGTGAATGCCGAGCACACTACCCAACTCTTCATCTGATTCGCGGCACTCCCTAATTGTGCGCCTATTATTCACCTCTTGCAACATGGCCAGTATTTTGCGCTTGGTCTGGGCGCTCGTTGAATTAAACGTTTGCATCGTGTTCAAATCGTAATCGCCGTTACCGTGTTTCTGTATGACTATGGTGGGCACACCGGTGTCCTTGTTCACCACCACCACGCTGTTACGCTTGGTCTGGTACAGGGCTATGGGACTGGTGGGTGATTGGGTGGCGGCCCTCAGTTCACGGTTTACCCGGTTTAACATTGTTTTTTGTCCGGTTGTTGGCGCACTGGTAATGTTTTGTTGGTCACTCTAACCCCGGTATCGCACGGTATTAAGCGTAGGGTTGATGTACGGAGTGTTCAATAGTTGGCACACAATTCGCTGCCATTTGATTAACATTAAGACAGTTTGCGCTACAGTTAAACACATAGTAATTAATAGCAGTATTATTATTAAGTTATGGTGTTTTTGTTTTGATGTTTAAAACACTTTCTCCCACTTAACGGCTTTCATATGTAATAAACAAAAATAAAATTAACTTAATCAATTAAGAAAATAATTAACTACTTGGTTGAACACAATTGATCATTAATAGCCCTCGATGTAACACAATATTAGTTACACATCACAAAACACACTTCACTATAACGCGTGTTCATAGTGTGTGAACATTACAAATACAAATAAAATGACTAAATTAATCATGTAATAATAATTAGTGGCCATAGAGTTATAATAGACTTTTCACTTTTCAGCTACAAAATGGCATTTTATTTATTTATTTATAATTGAAATAAACATCACATTTTTAAGATTATCATGATTATAAATATAACGTATTTTATTCACTGATTTGT